GAGAGAGAGAGAGAGAGAGAGAGAGAGAGAGAGAGAGAGAGAGAGAGAGAGAGAGAGAGAGAGAGTGACGTTTAATGATTATCCGGCGGGCTGTGCACACGCTTCTTCTCTTTTCATCGGGGCTGCGTTCGGTGACCCTTTGTCAGGATCGATATTTCGGGTGTAGATAGTCGAGCTAAATAATAAACGACGGCCTCTTCTTCGTATCCACCACCTTCACACACAGACTGCTCTAGCCACCGATCAATATTTCTAATTTACTTTTCCGGCCGCGGCGACACGAACCCCCACCGATCACCACTTTACTATATTTGTTCTCCCACAGCGTTTCAACTCTTCCTCTCTCTCTTTCCTTCCATCATGGAACGGACGAAATGAATGCTACAGTAATATCTCCATGAGTGCAACGAACTCGGATCCGCTTCGAAACATTCCTGGCAAGGCAGAAATGTTTTCAGCCCTTCATAAATTTGTTTTTTTTGCCCGAAACCGAGCCTCTGCTTAACTTCTGTTTACTCTCTTTTAATTTGTTTCAGACGGGGACCCCCTCCAATGGTGAGGATAACGCCATTGCTCGTGTCGCATTCATCGAGGCACTGATTGATACCAGATCCAGCCGGTTGAACCGTTAAAATTAAATACCCCGATGTACATCCGTACACACGAGTAACTACAGTAAATTCTCGATGAGTGCTCGATGTCTCCTGTCGGCTCTGAACATGAAATATTTCATAAATATCATTGGCTTCAGAATTTCATCTGAACCTCGGTAAAAAAAAATTAACGTTACACCTGGGAACCTGTCCTTGTCAATGCCGAAGAGACTACTAAAACACTCATCGTGGATTTACTGTATATCTTTACTCGAAATAAGGATTTACCGTATACCTTTACTCGAAACAAGGATTCCTTGTACTGTAAATTAATTTCTCGAAACGTTTTCAGTAAGGATGTTCATGGCGACTGATCGGACCCCGTGGACGCGTCGCCGCGAGTACAGAAACAACGAAACCAGGAAGGGACCAGCCCTCGTCAATGACCTAACTCAAGAGCATGGACCAACGGTAACTCAGGGTTGACACGGTATGTAACTGGCCGAGAGGAGAGGCAAGGAACGTAGTAAACCAAACGGAGCACTATACACGTGTGTGCATTTCACGTGACCATCGCACAGAAGCGCTACAGTCTTGTAACTACACACGATGGAAGGAAGGAAGATAGGCAGAAACATGGCTCCTACACGCACGCATATACAGGGTGTTCAGTTTAACTGGAGCACCTAAATTATTTCCGTTACTATTGAAAGTAAGAAGAAATTACTAAATGGGATGTACATGGTTTTAAGGCCTGCATCTGATGGTGATAGAAAAAATCCTGTGAAGGTCATTTTAACGGTTTCTTCAAGGTCATCGTATTCTTTTGCATATTAACATGTATTTTTTATAATGCGATATACTAATCAGCGTCAAGATGAGTACAACGGCCTACACACCGTGACCAGTGATCTTGCAGGCGAAGAAATCAGATTCAGTTTGAAGAATGCAGATGTAAATAAACGTAATAAGTAACAAAACATTTGATCACCGTCGGATGCCTTAACATCATGTACATCCTATCTAGTCAGTTTTTCTTACTATAAATAGTAGCGGAAATAATTCAGGTGCTCGAGTTCAAATTAACACCCTGTATATATACATATATATATATATATATCGAGATTGTGTGTACATAGAGGTGCGTGCGTCTCTCTGAATGTGTCTGTGTAAACGTACACCATTGACCGGGATATCGTCTGTCTCGGGATGAATGAACCATTACGTCACGCACTTGTACTCTCTGATCCCCTTCCGCCTCTCCTCCCTCTGTGTGCTTCTCCTCCTCACTCGTCGATTCTGTCTCCGTCTCTCTCTTCCACGGGCTCTCGTGCTCGCATTATACATATGTATGTATGTATGTATGTATTATGTACGGCATACCTTCCTTCCTCTCCTTCCTTCCCTCTTTCTTCCATCGATTAGCGGGGCGGAATTCCAGTCGGGTAGGGAGGACGATAGAGCTATAGTTTCGATGGAGGTCAACGTATCGCCGGTGGCTCAGACACCCAGCAGACACACGTGTCTGCTGCTGCTGTTGCTACTGCTGCTGCTCTGTAAAACGACGTAGGATGAGGAGCATGCGGGGATCAGGGCCGGGGGTGAATCACTTTCGTTGCACCACTGATACACTTTCCTGTTGCTCGATGCAGCACACTCGTATATACGGTACCTTGGCCCTCAGGCTGTGCTACCCATTTAGCCTCATCTCTTTCCATTTCGACGCATTCCCGAATCCTTCGCTCTTCTCTTCCGTCGATTCATAAACCTACATATATGTAAATAGATTTGGCAATCAGTCGAGTTTCGTTGAAACAGCTAGAGAGAACTATCATGGGGAGCTACGAATTTTCCCCTGAAATAAAATTGCCCCGAGTACAGTTTAACAAATTATTCTTTTATTTTTATTTTCGTTTCGAAGAATCGCGAGAGGCACGGCACAACGATGGATAGCTATGTACTAGATGTTGGTCGATGAGTAATCGTTAGAAAAGTTGCGTAGCTGGCACTTTAATTGACGGAATCTTATGTTTGTACGTTTTTGGATCGTAGAGGTAACCTTTTAACCTTCTAAAATAGGCTCACGGGGTTCTCGACCGGGCTCCTTCAAGTTGGGATACAACTTCGCTTTAAGACCGTCGCTGTTGATTCTTCCGTGAAAGTCTGGCTTTTTTTCTTTGGGTGCACTACGATCCAACCAAATGTCCAGTAAACTCTTAGGAGCGAAAAAACCACCTTTGTGCAGTTGCTTCCCGAGAGACATCGAAGTGCTAGGTGGCGGCGACATCGGTGAATCGGTCGTCGCTCTTATCACGCTGGCCCGAGCGGTTCCATCTTCCTTTCCGAATCTGTGTAACGATAAACAAAACACCACTAGTACTTTTATCCAAGAGAAACGAACGTGATTAGTCGTCCTTGTCTCTTGAATGATCATCAACTATTTACCCGTCCAATTCACGCAAGGCCTGGTCCAATTCGACTTTATCTTTGTCGTCCTTGCTCCGAACTTCGAGGAGGCAAGTCAAAACTTCGGAATGAGCAGCAGAATTGTTCGCGTGTTGCTTGAGAAATGTTTCCAATTCCCCCCACAACAGCCTATAATGTTCTTCCCTGCGAACACCACCTTTCCCACCGCGTCCTCCGCCTATGCTAGGCAAAGGCAGCGCTTCGTGTTTCGCTTCGAGTTGCAACAAACTGAATATCACTTGCTTGCACTGCACCACCTCTTCCGCGGCAAGCTCCTCCTTCACCATTAAATCTGGCAACGGGTCTATTAACTAAAATATCAAAACACCTTCTTTTACCATATAATCGTTAACGATGGGTTGATTTGCTTTTGATTCTAATCAATGTACCTGTTTCAAATTGAACATCAGGGTACTAGAGATGGTGATTGGCCAATACTTCGTGTGCCTCTCCAATCTGGATCTCATCTTCTCTGCAGGCCCTTCGCCATTAATGTTTGCACTTCGTTTCAAAGGCACCAGAACATTATTTCTCATCAGTCTTCCAAAATCCTAGAATGAACGATACAATGCCATTGTTGTCTCTGTATGCATTTCAAAAGGAACACTGTTCAACGGATTCTCTCTACTTACGGTTATTCTATAATCGGTCACACGACCACCACACCCTTCGCTGATAGAAGGCGGATCCTCTAACACGCTTCTCGCGGTAGATAACGTGTGTATAAAGATTTCTCCGCCGTGTGCGGCGAGTAAATGAGAAATAGTTTTCCCGCCGCTTTTTCTGGCCATTTCGAGCATCACCGATCTACCGTTCAATAGGAAATTTATCAGACAGGACGATGGTCTACTATTTACATCGACTGGTGTGATTCTGTGCATGGCAGTGCAATTTTGCATTTCCGCTGCACTGCATCCGCGCGGTGTACACCATTTTAAAGTTATCGTTTCGTACTCTGACCCCTCTTCGAATCTTCTAAATGTTTTAATCAATGCTGAATCTTGTGGGTTTCCTGAAAGAATCGATTTAACCAAGCATAACACTTGCTGTTCGTCTGCATTATACTCTAAACAAAACTACCTTTCAGAATCGCGGAATGCGCGGCCGACGAGTGAAATATCTCGACATCGTAATTAGCGGAAGAGCTAGCGTTCTGTTCTTCCTTCATAGGTATACCGGTTACCGTTGTACTTGCCAAATCGTAATGGGACAAGATCAAGTGGGAAAGTTTTGAATGTAAAGCAGGTGCCTTGATCGAGTGTACTTCCACTGTTAACATTGGCGAAACCTATAACGAAATACTGTATAAAATGTACAATGTAGTTTACAAAGAAACTCCCTACCTCTCTGGGTCCCTGACTAGTGACTTGCGACTCGATATTGTTCGGGAAGATGTTCAATATAACTAGGTGACAATAATCCACAGGTATTAAACTAAAATGAGAAAGATAATCTTATTACTGATACTACCACTACTGTCCACACACCAGTATTAATTAGTTTCCGGACACTTTATTCAAAAATACTAACTGATCGGAAGCTAAAGCAGTTTTGTTCTCTTGAGCCAATTCGTTCAGAAATATATTTTCCAAGCTTTTCATATTACTGTTGTCTCTTGCACTGGTGATGCATATTACTCTGCCCCTGTTAACAAGTTTACTGGCATTATCATTCAACGATGTCCTCTTCTCGTGTTGAATTTCTGAACATTCGTTCAAAGCCTCGATTGCCACCCTTAATCCGTGTATTACAGAGTAATCTTCTCCAGGTTCTGGAGTCTTTGTTGGTACTCCCAGAATGGCAGTGCCGTTCATTATCTATAATCGTAGCTGTGTTAGAAAGTAGTAGGAAAGGAATTTAAAGAATCCAAGGGAGCTTACATGATTTAAATTCTGCTGCGAAGGGCTCCATGAGTTTAAAACATATGCTGCACGATCAGTGACGACAAATCTTATCTAAAAGAAAATCGCGAAACGTCAAAATTTTACTTTGAAATTGTACTAGCTGTCGAAAACAATAATTATAACACAAATATTATGTAAAATTATACCAATTTTCCAGTTGGAAAGAGATCCCACACTATACGACAGTATTCTAACGAGGCTTCCACGCTGGTAGTCCACAGAGATTTACAAACAGGTGCCAATGGAATTAAATTTTGTCCGCGACTTTTTAGGAAATCGAATTCCAATGGACATTCGGTAGATATACCAAAATATGGTGTATGATCCAAAACAAAAATGGTCTTATGATTTGCCGGATACATTGTTCTACACCATTTTTGGCATGCGCCTTTTTTCAAATACAATGCATCACAGCCTATTATTTACACACTTCTTAGAAGCAGAATCATGCTTCACGGAGTTCACATAACATAGGTTAGGATACACGGTACTTCGGAATCTTTAACGTTACGATTCTCCTGTTATGAGATCTATGATCGTATAAAATGAATGTGTACAAATGCTATCGTACATTTTCATTTTTTTCAAACTACATATAAACGTTGTTTAAGAAAAATCTGTACATATTCAATTAATGTTGATATTACTATTGTAATTTTTGCTATGTATGAATCAATTACACGACATCAACAATAATTTGTATTATTAATTCCAGGAGAGCAAGAATTCAGTACATGAATGTAAAAAATAATGTATATTAGACTAAATTAATAAATTTATTCTTAATGAATTTCTTTGTTGTCATTTAAAATTTCCCGCTGTATAAGTCACGTCCGTTATTTCGTAGCACAGACGAAGTGTACGAGTAGACATTTCATTTAGTGTATTTTTGCGGCCCACTTTTTGGGGTTACGTGACCCAATTTCCATTTTAGTGTCACTACCCACCGCAGATTCAACCACAGACGAGATATACAGCAACAACGATAAAGAATCACGTTTCAAAACTCTTGCACATTCTCCGGGGGTTCTATGACGCCACTTCCTCACACACACGGGGTCTCTTGTTGGCACAGGGGGTTCTGTGACCCCAAGCCTCAATTTCCGGAGTCCATGGCGACAACTCAGGGGGTTCCATGACCCCACGCTCTCGCCAGGCGGAGTCTCTGGCGCCACCTCCGGGGGTTCTATGACCCCCCCTCGCGCCGAACGAAGTTGAGGCGCCACCTCCGGGGTTCTATGGCCCCACGCTCTGACCACGCGGGGTCTCTGGCGTCGCACCCGGGGGCTCTATGACCCCATGTGCTTCCGACCCAACATATCGTCGCTCCTTGTCTTACACATTACAGGTATTGGAGAGAAGATAACACTTGTTGAAATTGTTAATAACTACTTAATAACAAACGATTCGTGTTCCAAAGTATTATATTAAGATTGTCAGAGGCCCATACTAGGCTTTCTAAATACATAGAATCACGAATTGTGACGTGAAACTAGAAAAATAATGAATAATACGGGCGACTGTCAAATTGCGTAACGTTACTACGGTCAACGTAGTAAAGAATTGTTCATAACAAATGAATCCAACCTCAAAACTGTTCGAAAGGGGTATAGGAAATTAGCTAGAGGTTCATTCTACATTCCTCGACTGCAAAAGTATACTAAATGTGCATCTTAGATTAATAAATTAATGAATAACGTGGTTAGTATCCGCTTACATTATGCGATCCTAGAACATCAGGTCAGATAATCATTAATAACTTATTAATTCGATGGCAAAGTTACTAAAAACAAGGTTGTGAATATTGCATGGGGTCAGTTCTATGTTCTTCAGTTGCAAATACGTATGAATTGTTCTTAAATATTGAGATATTCGTAAATTTCCTAACGTTAGTTGGGTTATGGAATTTGGCGGGAATTTACTATCTCTGTCTCACTTTATAGACCAATTGTCCTTGTATACAACTTCTGCGACCTCCTCGGTTATTCTGTATTCCTACTACCAGGAGCCAAAAATCGCCTATTTCCACTGCCAGAGCTTCTGGTCGGAATATTGTCTATCCTTGTCGCACATTCGGCGTACGTATAGCGCCCTCTCTCTCGAATACCTCTTCGGTCATCCTGTTATCCTAATACGTATCAGGGAATCATGAATCCGTTTTCAAAGTAGGTGGCACGAAGATTCTATCTCCGTCCTTGTCGCACACATCGTCGCTCCTTGTCTTACACATTACAGGCATTGGAGAGTACATAACACTTGCTGAAATTGTTAATAACTCCTTAATAACAAACCATTCGTGTTCCAAATTGTCAAAGCAAGATTGTTAGAGGTCCAGACTAGACTTTTATACGAGATAGAATCACAAATTGCAACGTAAAACTAGGAAAATAATGAATAATACGGGCGACTGTCGAATTGCGTGAGGTTACTGCGATCAACGTAGTAAAAACTTGTTGATAACAAATTAATTGAACATCAGAACTGTTGGAAAGGGGTATAGAAAATTAGTTAAAGGTTCATTCTACATTCTTAGACTGCAAAAGTATAATAAATGTGCATCTTAGATTAATAAATTAATGAATAACGTGGTTAGTATCCGCTTACATTATGCGATCCTAGAACATCACTTCAGATAATCATTAATAACTCATTAATTCGATGGCAAAGTTACCGAAAATTGTGTTGTGAATATTGCGTGGGGTCTGTTCTGCGTTCTTTAGTTGCAAATAGTTATGAATTGCTATTAAACATTGAGATATTAGTAAATTTCCTAACGTTAGTTGGGTTATGGAATTTGGCGGGAATTTACTATCTCTGTCTCACTCTATCGACCTGCTGTCCTTGTCTACAACTTCTGCGACCTCCTCGGTTATTCTGTATTCCTACTACCCGGAGCCAAAAATCGCCTATTTCCACTGCCAGAGCTGCTGGTCGGAATATTGTCTATCCTTGTCGCACGTTCGGCGTATGTATAGCGCCCTCTCTGTCTAATACCTCTTCGGTCATCCTGTTATCCTAATACGTACCAGGGAATCATGAATCCATTTTCAAAGTAGGTGGCATGAAGATTCTATCTCCGTCCTTGTCGCACATCGCGGTGCTCCTTGTCTTACACATTACAGACATTGGAGAGAAAATAATACTTGCTGAAATTGTTAATAACTACCTAATAACAAAGAATTTGTGTTCCAAATTGTCATATCAAGATTGTTAGAGGTCCAGACTAGACTTTTATACTAGATGGAACCACAAATTGTGACGTAAAAGTAGGAATATAATGAATAACACGGAAGACTGTCGAATTGCGTGACGTAACTGAGATCAACGTAACAAAAAATTGTTCATAACAACTTAATTCAATCTCAAAACTGTTCGAAAGGGGTATAGGAAATTAGCTAGAGGTTCATTCTACATTCCTCGACTGCAAAAGTATACTAAATGCGTATCTTAGATTAATAAATTAATGAATAATGTGGCCAGTGTCCACTTACATTATGCGATCCTTGAACATCGGTTCAGATAATCATTAATAACTTATTAATTCGATGGCAAAGTTACTAAAAACTGGGTTGTGAATATTGCCTGGGGTCAGTTCTATGTTCTTCAGTTGCAAATACGTATGAATTGTTCTTAAATATTGAGATATTCGTAAATTTCCTAACGTTAGTTGGGTTATGGAATTTGGCGGGAATTTACTATCTCTGTCTCACTCTATAGATCCTCTGTCCTTGTCTACAACTTCTGCGACCTCCTCGGTTATTCTGTATTCCTACTACCAGGAGCCAAAAATCGCCTATTTCCACTGCCAAAGCTTCTGGTCTGAATATTGTCTATCCTTGTCGCACGTTCGGCGTACTTATAGCGCCCTCTCTCTCTAATACCTCTTCGGTCATCCTGTTATCCTAATACGTAGCAGGGAATCATGAATCCGTTTTCAAAGTAGGTGGCACGTATAATTCTATCTCCATCCTTGTCGCACATCTCGTCGCTCCTTGTCTTACACATTACAGGCATAGGAAAAAGGATAACACTTGCTGAAATTGTTAGTATCCGTCACCGCGACAAATTCGTTGTTCCGAGCCACCGTGAACAGAAACATACACGGATACGGACGGTATAGTAATACGGATACGGAGTTATAGGCGTTTTTGAGACCACTGTGTGTTTATTAATAAATGTCACTCATGTATAGGAACTGGTCCGTGATAAGCTATCGTGTCGTCAGAGCCGAAACACATTTGTAGAAAAATAAATGTCCTCATCACGGATGCATAGATCGTGTGTATACGCGACATTATCATTCGAGAAACAATAACAAAGCAGACTGTGGAACAGTGTCTACGGAAGCTATAAAATAATAACGATCTGAAACCGGAGCAATAAATATCAGAAACAGCCCCAAATCTATTATCCATCGTGATTTATAATACATACCTGCGTACCACAGCCGTCTGGATCAATTGTTATGTATTTACTCATATTACCATAAAAAATAGTTTAACGACATCCGGGTAAATTTGCTATTGTACAATACGTCTATGTACCATCGTAGGAATCGTCCAATCTCGCCTGACATGAATAACATTCGTCAATTTGACGTAATTCCGTGCAAAATGAAACACATTAGGATACGACCGAAATGGTGAAACGACGAGGCTCAGGATTGCAATCGAGATTAGAAATTATTATGATTTATTATTATTTATTTAGAATCAAAGGACAAAGCCCAATACAATGAACAGTTACAATACTTATGACATGATAGGGTTTCCATGATACGTTATTATGTACATTATTGGATTAGTTGAAATAGTTTACATTCGAATGATGAAGTACTACCCAAGAAGAAATTTCTGTTATCAACGTATAGACTAGTTGCTTGAATATTCTTTTCGTCACATACCCCGGCCTGGAATACACACTCTTTTTTCGATTTTGGAAGAGTTATTCTGTTTTAAACGGTGTACGAATACTTTTTTGACCCTCTGTATAACGCAAGGGGTTAATTAAACAAGGCACATATTTTCTATTATTCGTTTGAATTATGTATGTATTACCCGCGGAACGAGCAGAGAATCGCGATTTCCCCTTCTCGATCGAGTTTAGGTCCGTGATCCCTACCCTTCGATCACTTTCGCGAGTAGCGTGCCGCGTGTGATCACCACACAACACACAACGCCAGTGGTTGTTTGGTCCTCCTCACGAAGATACCACACGGGTTCGTCGCGTTCGCCGATCGGTGCCATAGATGACAGAGAGCACGAGGGCTCGAGACACACCGCGCGCGTCCCACATAGACGAAACACTTCCTCCCGATCGGGTAACCGGTGTCTACCTTTCCGAGGAACGTACGCTCGATCGAGATGCCCAAGGTACCAAATACAGACTATCATTCGAGATTCCTTCTATCGTCGCGGTTAGAACACACACGATTTAATAGAGATTATTTCTAAAGATACATGTACACTGCCGACCAAATGTATCGGACCAGAGTTCAAGATTGGTGGAACAGTAACTCATTATTCTGTTACGATATAACACAAGTTACGAAATCAGTACATCTACAATGCAATACATTCTGTAATTATTACGCCTGATCCCATACTTTTGGCCGGTAGTGCGTATCGAACTAGGATGGTAGAAACGGTCGACGATGTTTCTTGATATAAAAAACAACAAGTACAGTAAATCCTCGATGAGTGCGTATCGGTGCTATATGCAGGGTAGAATAGAATCGAATGCCTGGCTGAATGAGGGGGCACGTGGAATATTAAATATTCCATAAACTAATTGCTATTTGCGGTTGAAACGAATATGATTGACTGGGGAATTCCGAGCTCTATAACTATGCTGAACCTCATTAAAAAGTCAGGGTCACACCTGGGGATCTCTCTTTGTCAATGTCTTTGAACACTCATCGAGAATTGACTGTACGGATTGCCTTTTATAATAGTTAGTCCGTAAAATTTCTATTTGTTCTCGAGTGTATCGGTGAACAACCGAAGGTAGCGATGTAACGAGATAGTGAACCCAACAAGGGACTTTATTTTCAACGTTTCAAAACGTAAGTTCGAAGTTCGTCTAAAAGGGGAACGAAACAATTTTCTATAAGGATGTTGGTTGCTCACTTACCCACTGTATCGTTAACTTCAGCTTTTGTTACAGTTTTCAGTATATATCCTTCATAGAATCGAAATAGAAGAGTGGATCTTAACGGTTAAGACAGTAATGTGGCAGATTCGTTTTAAACGATTCGATTCTCATTTGATCCAAGATCTGCTCTTCCCTTCGTCTGAATGTTTTCCACGCGAACAAAAGGTTTTCCCCAAAAAACGACGTACACCAACGACAATCTTTTGCGAGTTTCGAAACCCCTGTCGCACACGGTTGCTTTCCAACGATGAGTTACATAAAACCACGTGTACGTGAAAGTCTAGAAATATCAAATCAGAGACTGAAACACGAGACCGGCCACTTCGAGCAGTCACTTTTCTGTCTCTCTCTTTCTATCTCGCGACAAGGCCATTTTGCGGTGTGTATAACGAAAATTTAACGTCTCGCTCGCGGTTTCGGTGAATATTCAAAGCTTCGAGGAAAATCGATCGAATCCAATGTATCTTAAATATTGAATAGAAAGAGGTAATTGAGGGGCTCAGTGGAAAAGGATGATCAAGATTTGATACTAATTTCTATTTACCATCTACATCAATTCGATTTTCTAAAAGTCACTATCATATAAACTTATAGTATTTCATTATTTGTTTATTCATTCATTTATCTATTTCTTTCTTTAATTCGTATTAGAATAAAAGAGAAAAAAAAGTGTAAATATGTTTTGTGACCTGTGCCCCTTTTCCACAGGGCCTCTCAATTTCTAACGTGGCGCAAAATCGGAAATAGTTTCGATTCGATTCGCGTGCGGGTTCGTCCAAGAGAAAGAGATACCGCGGTGTCGCTAATAACCGAGAAAGCAAGGACACGGAACAATCGGCCTCGCCGTGACGTAACGCTGTCCGCGAAAATGAATATAAAAAAAAGAAAGGAAAAAAAGACGTCGTGACAGTCTCTTTTTGACTTTGTGCGCTTCCCTCGTTCGGACGAATTTCGCTTGGTATTTTTTCGTCCAGGATTGGACTGGTCACATTTCGATGCATACTGAATAATTACAATTATTCCATTACGTTCGAACAGTCGAGAAACGAGTACCTACCGCGCGAGAAAAGGAAAAGTACAAATCGGGTTCGGAAAACGTGAACAACCGGAAGTCGTTAAAAGGGCTTCTAAGTCGTCCAAGAGTGTCTAGCTACTCGCGTGCTATTGCACTTCGATATTATGAAGCGATCGACGGAACGGTCGAACTACCGGCTTCCTTTACGCAACGGAGAACTATAATAATAATTAACGTGGTGCGTCACCGGTTGTCGTAGATCCTTGCAAAACGAGGATAAACGTCACGGTGGTTGCTGCGATTCCGCTCGAACGTAATTCAAGGAACTTGGCTTTGAAACGGTCGGACTAGAGCTGTGACTATTCGTATCAATCGAATAATTTCAAATACGAATGACTGTTCGAAGTATTCCAATACTTCGATTAATTGGAAGTATTTGAATAAATCGAATAGTACGAAGTATTTATATTATTTTAGCATTCGAGTAATATAAGTGATAGAGTTTCGGATTGTGCCGAATAAGAATTTTAAAAACTAATAATTGTAAATGTCAACGTGAAAGGAACTTCACAATGAAATGTGAAAAAATATATTATGTTAAATTCCTATTCGGCACAATATAAAATTTGATCACTCCGAATACTACAAATACTACAAATACTAGATCATAGACAGTTATGCATTTCTCAGGAGTCGCAATTAGAACGAGCATCTAACGGATTATTTTTCCTCGCGGTTAACGAAGGTTTATCCTTTCGCCGCGTGAGTCTGCGGCAATAATTCTCGAAATCGGATCGGTAGGAGAGCACGGAATACAGTGGGGATCGTGATTTTTTACGGACAATTCAATTGCGTGACTTGGTATGAACAGAACGATCGTCGAGTTGCGGTTGCGTCCAGCGAGATTGTCGCAACATTTGATTGTCGCAAGAACCGTGTTTTCCGAATGATCGAAGCGTTAGGAATGCCGTGTGTTGTCACGATATCACCGAGCACACTCGCGGTGCAACAACGATCCAAGTATGTCGCTCGGAAACACAAGCGCACAATCGTGACAATTGTGACGAACGTTACTTCGAAGCTGTGTCCTTTTAATGAACTTAAAAAGGATGGCCTGAATTATCCAAATACTTCGTACTATTCGATATATACAAACGAACATCTCGTGAAGCGCTTATCTTTTTTTTGTTCACAGCATGGTAAAGAAAACGCGGCATTCGTGGGCGACGATGGGGTCGCGACGACACACTTCCAGAACCGGAACGTGAATACCATCACAGAAAAGGTGAATATCGTGTTCGTCCATCGTTACCATTTCTTCCGAAACTCTGCCAACAACTATGAATCTTTTTCTTTTGTTCTTTAGATCCATGGAAGCGATACCTTTGGTTTCCAATATGGGATTCAGGACGATCGCAAGTCGCCGATCCCTGTGTCGATTCCAGAAGAAATGGTACCCGACATTTTCAAGTTCACCGAGTCACTTCTCGAGTTCTGACGCACTAATCGACGACCTATTGTATAATATTCGTAGTCTATCGCGGAGAACGGGGAGCAGAGGGCGACGTGGGGCAACGGGCTGGAGTTCTTGATGTCCTGTATCGCCATGTCCATCGGTCTTGGCAATGTTTGGAGGTTCCCATTCACTGCATACGAGAACGGCGGCGGTGTTTTCTTGATACCTTATATCATCGTTCTGTTCGTTGTCGGGAAACCATTCTATTATCTGGAGATGATAATGGGCCAGTTTTGCAGCAGATCGTCGGTAAAAATGTGGGCTGCAGGTGTGGTTGTTTTTGCAATGGGATTTTCTAAAAAAAAAAAAAAAAGAAAGAAAAAAAGAAAACAAATAAAAATCATTTCAGACGTTTAAGAATAAAAACGGGGAGAGTAAGTCGGACAAGGTTTTAATTATTCGCAGCACCCGGATTCCGAGGTGTTGGCTGGGCCCAAATGTTCTCCATGTTGGCTGTAGGCACTTACTACTGTTCCTTGATGTCTGTGACCCTCTACTATTTAATCGGCAGCTTCCAGTCTAAGTTACCTTGGTCCACGTGCCACGAGGAATGGGAAGGATCTTGCGTCGACTCGGGCGGTTCCTACAACGTATCGCAACGTAACGGCACCGTTATGATCAGTTCCGCCGAGCTCTATTTTCGGTAGGCTGTTTTCCTCGTAGAGACAAGAAAATTGCAATTTCTTTTAAGAAAAATTGCATTTTGCCCCTCCCCCCTCCCTTCCCAGAGTTACAAAATTTTTGCGTAATATTTAATATTGCAGTATAATTTAAAACACGGCCAACAACCTCTATTAACAAAACGAACGCATTTTCAACGATTTATGACTTTAGAAAACAAAATAAAGCGTGTCTAACTACGTACGGCCTTTTTCACTGTGGCAGTCGATGCGTTAATATTTTTGCCACGCTATTTACAGTGAAATGTTACGTTTACCTTTCAGAAAGATCGTGTTGAAAGAGAAACAGACGATCGACGATGGGATCGGAACGCCTGACTGGAAGCTAACGATCTGTCTTCTGGTCTCCTGGCTCTGTATATTCGCCGTTTTGGCGCGGGGAGTGAAGAGTTCGGGAAAGGCGGCCTATTTTCTGGCACTTTTTCCGTACGTGATCATGATAAGCTTGCTGATCAGAGCGGTGACCCTGGACGGTGCCGTGAACGGAATAATTTTCTTCATCAAGCCGAACTGGAGGAAACTGTTCGACGCGAACGTCTGGTACGCTGCCGTCACACAGTGCTTTTTCTCGTTATCGGTGTGCTTCGGCGGTGTCGTCATGTACTCCTCCTACAACGATTTCAGACACAACATATACAGGTTACTCTCTAACAGCTCCATATAAATACAGTAAATCATCGATGAGCGTTCGAAAGTTCCTCGGCACGACGTCATCCACACCACTAGTGTTCGTGAAATCAAAGTTTACTTTTCTTCAAGAAATACTCGAGAAAGAATTCTTGAAAAGAAATATCTACCTACCACTGGGTCCTTAAATATGTGGTATCTCATCAAAGGTGTGGATGCCGTCTGCACAAGGGCTGTTATGAATATTCGAACATCCGCATATTTCGAATAATTCTAATACTCCGAATATTTCGAATAAACGAAATACTCGAATATTTGAATAGCAGTAGTATTCTAATTCTTCGATTTAACGTACCCCTATCGATGTTTTCCATCGATCTGTTTCACGTACCGTTTTCGTTTCGTACAAGATCAGAAATCTACCCTCTTCGTACGATCGATGACCGTGGGTGTGTGTATTCGAATTGTTTCAGAGATGTAATAGTGGTGACCACTCTGGATACCTTCACCAGTTTAATGGCAGGCTTCACAATTTTCGGTATACTGGGAAATTTAGCGCACGAGCTCGGCACAGACGACATCAGCAACGTTGTTCGCGGTGGAACCGGTCTCGCTTTCGTCTCGTATCCGGATGCTATCGCGAAATTCACTGTTCTACCTCAGGTGAACCAGACAAGTCGTCCTTCGATTGCTTTGAAAACGAAATCGACAATTCGCTCGAGATTTCGTCGCTAAAAAATCGAGTAACTATTTACAATATAGGGAGCTACCTTCGACTTCGATGCTTCTTCAATATGTTGTCAAGATCATCAAGCAGAGTAGCTCTGTGAAGATTTTACGTGGGGATTGTCAGATTTGGGTAAAAAAGTTATTCAGTTCCTCTTAATAACTTCTTTAATAATCAATATTTGATAACTGAAACTTTCTGAAGGTGTCACTCAAGAGAGTGACCTTGACAACATATGTCAAGGTCATCGGTCCATTTTACTTATCAATACTACTAAAGCAAGACACTAAACTTTTTTCCTTCGCGATACCACTCAATGTGCCTTGCCAACTATTAAAAAAATCATCGAAATTGGAGGTGACTTATTGTAAATACTTACCAGCATTTGAAACAGTTCTGAATCCGAGAATACGAAAACATGTAACGTAGGAAGATTAGAAGTTAATGTGGTTGCGAGTATCCGACTACCTATCCCACTCGGTGCATTTAATTAAAATTCCACTGAGTGTTTAGGGTGATCAGGAACACGTCGAAAGAAATGTCTACCGACCAGATTTTACCGTGTACGTAATCTCGAGGTGATCCAGATTTCACATCTCACCAGAACATATAATATCAATTATCAAGCTCTCTCTCTCTCTCTTTCTATCTGTGTATTCGCAGCTGTTCTCGGTGTTGTTCTTCTTGATGCTCTACGTTCTTGGCATTGGAAGCGCGATCGCCCTAGCTGGAGCAATCGTCACGATCATCACCGATCAATTTCCTAACTGGAAGCATTTCTACGTGGTGCTCGGCACTGCTACCTTTGGTTTCTTCGGCGGAACTGTTTATTGTACACCTGTAAGTAGAGTCGTGTTGGTGTCCTCGTGATTTCTTAAAAATTTATTCTCCAATTTTCTACTTTACCTTTATCGTGCACCCGTAAAAAAAAGGGAGGTCAATTCATTTTGGAGTTGGTCGATTACTATGGCGGCTCCTTTATCGTCTTCATCCTGGCCACACTGGAGATCACTGGAATCTTTTGGGTGTACGGATTGGAGAATTTCGTGGACGACGTCGAGTACATGCTGAAGAGAAGACCGTCCATGTATTGGAGACTCTGTTGGGCGGTCATCACTCCTGTTCTGTTGGCTGTGATCTTAGTTTACACGTTGGCTACCTTGAGACCCTTGACTTATAGCGGTATCTCGTATCCCGACAGTGCACACGGTACGTACAATTAAGGGTAAACCGATACCGTGAAGGTAACGATACTTTTACTTGTAACTTGTATCGAAAAAAAGTATCTACTTTTTGTACAATTGTATTTGTATAATAATAACACTTTTGTAATTGAATTTGTACAAAAATAACACTACTTCGGCTGGAAGATATTTTATAACAACCTATTGTTTTAATTAGCCTTTGCCCTATCTGATAATTATTCTTTCAAATCACTAGAATATTCTGTGTCAAGAAGAGTTTTCTTTAGCCAATACTATCGAAGTTATATGTATAATTGATACAACGAAATTAACTGAATAATGGAAAGAAATTGTCTAAACAGTATTAAATAAGAATACGATATATGTATATTGAAAAATGCAGATTATAAGTCTGTCTTTAAAATACCTTGTAATTGAATTACAGTTGCTGGATGGAGTGTCTGCGCCTTCGGAGCACTGCAAGTTCCTTTCTGGTTCGTTTACACCATAATGTCGAAGAGGGACTCGAAGCTGTCAGAGGTACGAACGATAATTTATTATCAATGTTATGGACGCATATATAAATAATATATATATTTATCTATGTGTCTGTAATAATGACGAACACTCAAATATTCGGATAGCAATGGAATTTGAATTTGATATTCGAATTATCCAAATTAATCGTACAAATAATATATATGTATATATATATGTACGTGTCTGTAATAACGAATCACTGATAAATCCTCGTTTACAGATGATCGGATCGGCCATCAGGCCATCCTCAGATTGGGGACCCAAGAACACCAGGGAGCTGGCTTCCTGGCGCGAATTTAAAGAGACCAAACGGAAAATACGAGAGAAACGAGACTGTTCGACATTCAAGCAGTTCGTTTACGTGATACTCTGCTGGGAGGAGAAACTTGTGTGATACTAACAACTTTCACGACGATTCACACGTATCGTTTCAGCTCCCTGATGAGAAATAACAGGCTGGAAAATAAATTCGATAAATGAGAACTTTCAGAAAATGTACTATTGTTTGAGTACATTGTTCACAGTCTTCCACGCAGTTGCAATTTTTAATATTTTTTCGATTTCTTACAAACTAAGGTAGTCTGTGTACTTTTAGTCTGAAAATTAATTTCAGAAGCTAATGAACGGTTAATAGCGTTGCAAGGTTCATCTCGACGAATTGTTTGGATTTAGTCATCGACGTGAACAGTCTCTGAACGATTATTTAACAGTATTGTAAAATGAACATATTGATCGCGAGAATCTGTACACGTCCATTGTCTTCGAAAGGAAACAACTCTTATAGTATTGATCAGCGAACCGATGAATAGATTAATAGCTCCTGTGACTCACGTCTTATCATTACCGCTAGAAAGTATTTAAACAAATGGACTTACGCCTTTATTTATTAAATATCGTAATTCTTTTTCATGCTACCATACGAGACGAGTAACATTGTAATGTAGCTTTTGTTAGCGTGTATTTTTTACGAGACGATTTTGAGTTGCTTGTAAATCAAGCAGAACGAATAATTTTCCGAGTCATTCGTAATCCGAAAAGTTCGAATCATCCACGTATTGCTCTTCCTCTTCGTGTCCACTCGTCACGGATATTACTTCTTCCGTTTGCACTTTTTCCTGAAATTTACATATCAATTAAACACCTAATCGGACAATTGTACGCAAAATGATGTAGATGAAAGAAATACAAAAGATAATGTGTACTTTTAGTCTATGCTTTTCTCTTTCAATCATCAACTCCAGTTTAAGTTCCTTTAATCGTTTCCCTCGTTCCTCGCATATCTGAAACGAAAACCTTTAATAGATAATTAATAATTACCAAAGATTGAATAATAATCGAACACAACTGGAATTTAACTTTGTAATTTAGCAGCCAATGACCAAGGTACTCGATCGGATTGTAAGGTTTTCTGGCGACGATATCACGAAGGGCAGATGACAAAGCTCTGCTTAAATGATGTTTTAAATAAATTCCATCCGGCGATAAATATTCGTTGGAAGACGAAGGTAGAGACACGGAAGAATTGATTTCTTCTCGGTTTGTCTCGAGGGACCACAATTTTCCGAGTTCTGCGGTATCCTCGTCCGAGAAACCCATCGCCCTCAGAAGCCTGAAATAAGACGATTGCTTCGAAGTTTCAAGAAAATGAATTTTCGTTTTTGAGTTAGGGCTATTACGAGTACTCGAATATTCCAATACCAGTAACATTTATTCCACGTGAAAGTTCATGAAACGATTCATATCCTACAAATTTCTGTATACCCCAAATTGTATTTGTTATAACGAACAATAATTTGCCTTGAAAAATAGCTGATGGAATGTTTAAGAACATACCCTGAAGATGTGATTGTTATAAATATTACAGTACCGAAAATATTTAATTTATTGTGAAATAATTTCAAGCGAATTGAGTAAATTGAAAATACTGTTCTTAAAACTGTAACAGTTATTGTCAAGGACATCAATCAAACGTCGATCAAAGAATTCCTACTGTTCTACAAATTTTTATGAATTCATTGCTTAAAACTCTACCAACGCACATTTTCATTAAATAATATTTAGTTAACAATCGCCATAAACATTAAGACATAGTTGTTGTTTAATAATTTGCAATAAAATAAAATTTATTCCACGTGAAAGTTCATTACACGGTCCATATCTTGAAAGTTTCCGTATATTTCGATTTATATTTGTTATAAACGATAACAATTTGCACTATAAGACAGCTGACAGAATGTTTAACAATGTGCCTCAGAGAGGTAATTGCTATAACAATTACTTTATTAGAAATAATAAATTAATCGAGAAATAATTTATGGCGCGCTCGAGTTTCCACTGCACTCAATGTTAGCGCACCTATCCGCGCACCAGTGCGCGCAAGTTCACGGTGGCTGCGAGCCCATAAATTCGAGCGCGCAATGAAAAATCCTCAGTGCACTCGCGTCCGCGGACCTCGACGAGGTCTTTCGATTGCTGACCACTGGTGGACACTGATCAAGGAGGGTTCAAGGGGTCCTCTCTATTATCCGAACTCGACGAGGTCTTCCCACGATTGCTGACCACTGGTGAACACTGGTCAAGAGGGGTTCAAGGGGTCCTCTCTATTATCCGAACTCGACTCAGGGGTTCGTTTTTTTTTATTTTTTTTTTTATTGTGATTTATTTTAATTAATTGGGTTATATTTTAATTTATTTTAATTAGGTACTTGTGTTTTATTTTAATTTATTATAATTAGGTACTTGTGTTTTATTTTGATTTATTTTAATTATATGTGTTTTATTTTGATTTATTTTAATTATATGTATTTATTTTGATTTATTTTAATTCTATATGCTTTATTTTGATTTATTTTAATTATATGT